TTGAGAAAAAGAACTCTTGTGCAGCAAACAAGAATTCAAAAAGCAAAAAAAGTGGGAAGCAGTTGCGCGGCGGCTTTAGCATTAGAGCATGTTATTCTACCCGTTATAAAAAGCTCCCGCTCATTAAGTAAGCTGACGAATTCAAGTTTGGTTTCATTTTTTACATACCATCAGAGCGTCTATCTCTGGGCTCCTGCACCAGCGGAGAGCGGTTCTTTGCGAGGTCGCGATACACTCTGGTCGTAACGCTAAGCTGATTGTGAGAAGCATGCCTAGCTGCGCCACCGCATGCCACTCCCTCTCCAATTCCACTCTTCAACATTTGTCTCTTCGTGGAGGAAAAACTGTTCATTGAAAGACGCGCTTTTGAGCCCCCCCCCCCCTAAGTATTATTGAAGACACCAGGGCTCAGTGAGACTTAGTAAGGTGCAGCAAGTTGCTCTGAAACGATGCTGGAAGCTTATTAAATTGCCGCTACGATCCTGAAAGGATGTGGGAATTATGGATCGCACGGAATTGGGAGCAGTTCGGCTTGCTGGTTGTATTTTGCTGGTTTCCATCTATCACTGTCAAAGCATTCTCTAGAGATCTGCAGATATCTGCGAAGCTATGCAATAACAAGAGCTTCGTTTATACTTAAAAAGAACCTGCAGATCTTACCAAGGTGAGACATGCAGATTTAAAGGTGTAATTCAACAGCAATAGCAATAGAAATTAGTGGAAGTGCGAAATGCCGCTCTTCCCCCGTAAGCCGAAGAGGGCCCAAATACGATTTTTTTTTATTCTTTTCTGAGGAGGCTTTCATTTACATGCCGTTCATCAAGATCCCTCTCGTCATTCCCGGACATGAGGAACGATAATGTACTGACGTGACCGCAGCAGCGGCCGCGTTTCCATGAACACGCCATGCCGGTTAGAGCTGAGCGAGGGTGACAGAACTATCGACATCCTCTTGCGCCGTCTGCGTTCTCTTGGGCTGCGCTCACACTTTGCGGCAGCGTCCACTAGCGTTTCGAGCGTCCGACAGCGTCTGCGGCTCGGAAAGTATAGATATCGATTAGCGTCTGCCAGCGTCTTCCAGCGTTCTCCAGCATCCACCGGCTCCCCAGCCCCTCGAGTGCCTAGGAAGTATAGGTATTGATCTAGCTTCTACCAGCGTGTGCCAGCGTGCACCAGCGTCTTCTAGCGTCCGGGAGCTGATAGTATGGCGCGATGGGAGGGTAGCCGACAGCTGTTAGAGTATGGCGAGATAGCAGGGTAGCAACTGTCTGCCACTCTACGCGGGGAGACGCTAAATCAATACCTTACTTCCCAGGCCCTCCATGCGCCTGTAGACGCTGGCGAACGCTAGATCGATATCTATACGTTCCCAGTCGCTGACGCTCGAAACACATGGAGACCAACTTCCGTAAAGTAGAAACCGACAGCCTCACACTGCGCGCGTCATTGAACTGACTCGACATACAGCGTAGCCACGTTCACATTTGAGTCCCTAGACACGCCTCTCCCCTTTCCTTGAAAGTGGACGTTCATTCTGCCGATTTCTGACATATTACTGGTTAACACAAATCAACTCTACTCACATTCCAAATGACAGCACTATTGTACGTATCGCAAGGGTTTTTGTTGCATAAAGGTGCACGAAAGTGTATTTCTTTTTGCCACATCGTTCCGCATCTCCTGTCATCAAGACCGCTTTGTCTACCGCTTGCTTGATCTCCTCTTCTGTGAACTGAAATCGTGGATAAGACTGGCTTAAAACTTCTGAGATCTATGAAACGACTCACCTTCCCGTTATCGCGTCTGAAACTATTCACATAGCTGAGGGCCTTGACTGCTTCTTTCTTGCGATGCTTTTGAATGAGAAATTTCGGACTTTCTGGAATTCCGCTAAAAAGACTTTTAAAGCTAGAACATTCATCTGTGATTGCTGAATTTTCTGAATTCGTTGCGATGGGGGCATCGGCCAAGAGGTCCGCTTTGCGGCGACTGGCGTCGCTACGCGGCATTCGCACTAGGGCCTATCTCATTCACCATGATTGTGATAAACTGCTTTGACCACCTATATTATACTTGCCGATTTGTGGATTTCACCGCAACGCGGACCTCCCGACCGTTACTCGAAAGTCGGTAGAAATGCTCACAAAGCAAGTAGAAGTGCGCCAAGTGCTGTAACAACATTGCATGCACGAGCGAGTATTCTCCAATGACCAGTAAAATATGCGAAAAAAGCCAATAAGATATAGTTAGGAGCCCATGTGACCACCGTACACATCCAAAAACGATGTTTTGCCGGCAGACTTTCCACTACCAATATCGTTCCCACTCTGAAAATCACGAACACTGACCAGAATGTACAAGCAATTGCAAACTTATATCGGGTTTGCAGCCTTGTTCGCTGCTAATAAAGGGGCGTGTCCGTGAGGCTGGGTTTGGCGCGCCACCAGCCCGTTCTCCACCGGTTGTTGAAGCGGGTAAGCGACAACCAGCGAAAAACGACTGATACAAACGGTATGGTACAGTTTTGTCGCTTGCCAAAAAAGAAAAGAAACAGGCTGGTGCTGCGCCAAACCTACTTCCCTGACACACCCCCTCTTTCGCAGCGAACAGGACTGTAATTACGTCACTCATGGTACTAGTTAAGGAAATTTCATTCCTAGGATTTATATAAAGTGCTATATAAAGGGCTTACGTGATCAGTCCTCCACAGAATATTCCAATAAAGAGTCGTATGAGCACGTAAAAGTCCATAGACGGTGAGAAAGACGAGAGCGTTGAGAATAAGCACATGCTTACCAGCAGAAGCAGAGTGATCTGAGAATTATCATTGAAATTTGTAGATTCTATTTACTTATTTAGCTAGTTTGAGCCATATATTTAGTTACAGTTCAGTCTACCAGAATCCTACCAGAAGAAGAGGTCTACCAGGCTAAGGGAAATAGTCAACATCAGTCGGATGCAGTGCGGATTTCGACCTGAACACGGGACCACAGACGCCATCCACGTTGTTCGCCGTCTGATGGAAAAGGCTAGAGAATGGAACAAGCCACTTCATTTGGCTTTTCTGGATCTGGAGAAAGCCTTCGACAGAGTGCCGCGTCAACTCATTTGGGAAGCTCTTCGGTATCAGCAAGTTCCAGAAGCACTCATTAAGGCAGTCCAGCTGACCTACTTGAACTTTACAACCTTCATCCGGACGCCTGTTGGAGACACTCCCAGTTCCGGGTTGCTGTTGGTGTGCACCAGGGATCGGCTCTTTCGCGCACTTGCTTGTTCATTCTATGTATGGCTACGCTAGATATGAAACATCAGGAAAGAGCCGCCTTTGACGCTGGGATATGCTGCGACGATGTACTGCTGATGGACAGATCCAAAGGGAAATTAGAACGGCGCGTCAACCGCTGGAAGAGAGAGCTTGCCAGCCATGGACTCAGGCTTAATATAAGCAAGACGGAATATATGTGCACCACCGCAACAACATCGTCAATCGTAGTCGATGACTCTCCAGAGCAACGACGTTTCCGTATCTCGGATCTACGCTTGCCGCGGACGGAGATGCCAAGGCCGACACCACTGCAAGAATCAACGCTGCATGGAGCAAATGGAGATCTGTTACTGGGTTCCTCTGTTGCTAGGAAATACACGTGCGCCTGAAGTCAAGATCTACATTCAGTCGTGAAGCCATTCGCGAGACTAAACAGATGACGGCCGAGGAAACAAGAGCCTACGGTCTCATGGAGAGAATGTTACGATGGAGTCTGGGACACACGCGACTCGACCGAATCCGTAACGAAACAGTCGAGACAGGATGAAGGTCCACCCGATTGTCAACTCCCCCCTTCCCCCCCCCAACCCCCTTGCCGCAGCTCGTCTCCGCTGGTATGGTCACTTTCAACGGAGACCTCCCGATGCTGTATCGAAGTGTGCTGATAAGGTCGTCTTCACCGGTAAACGTCCAAAAGCCGACCTAGAATGCGGTGGAAAGACAACCTGAATATGGACATGCCAGCTGCTGGCCTGTCCGCAGCCGACTCTATTTACAGGGACCGCTGGAAAGCGTTGGTCAAACAAGCGTACCCGACAAACAGTTGCGAAACAGAACGCTTGAGAAGAAGAAAAGAAGCAGAGAAGCAGTTCAGTCTACCAGGACTAATGGTAAGGTCAGAATTAATCCACCAAAAATCTCTTTTTTGGTTGAATCAGGGGCGTCGTGATGAAATATATCCTTATGAATTTTTGTCGGCTATACAGGATCTCCGAACTAAACACATCAGCTGTCAAGCATGCACCTTCTCGGACCTGTACCCGCTCAGGTTCGAAAAGAACCATTTTTGTGTCCCCAGCAAGTATCAGAGTCATCGTCGGAAGGGCAAAAACATGACATGACTCTGTGAGTCATTGGATGGACATAATACGCTCCCAGATGTTTCAAGAATCCTATAGTGAAATGCATGGGCATCCCAAAGGCAGCGACCGGCGCAGTTTGGCGGCGGGGGTGGGGTTCAGCACTTTCGTTGCTTTACTAGTACCAATTTAGCGAGTCTCACTCAGGTGAAACCTGGTGGAGCTTTTGGTGACACTGCGAAGCAAGCTCTCGTCGAGCCACCATGGTGAAACCTGCACACTCAAGAACAGGCTTCTATATGGGCCGATACGGCTCTCGATTGGGAAAGTAGCAAACAGTGCCAAAATGCCCTCCTTGTCGGCGAAGCTGCCCCGCAGCGGTCTTACTCATCCACTTTTCCCCGTATCGGCCTATGTGATTCACCATGCACATTTTGTCTTACGCTCATTCGCTCAAACATTTACATCTCATCCGAGGGCGTGGGAGGGTGTGTCTTCTGGACACACGAGTGCTGCTGCGTATCCGTGATCTATACCAGGTTTCAAGCAGAAGGACAATCGACCAGCGATAGCATGTAGAGAAGTAAGCGGTACATGTATAGTCGGTTTTTCTGCAGACGCTGTGGGACCGGGTTTAAGACAGCGCAGCACGTTTCCCATCTATTGTTGCAGCTTGCCGCTTCGGAAACTGGGGGAGAAAGAGGCTAGCTTCGCTTCAAACCCAGCCACTCGATACGCCCTAGCGACTGCAGGGAAAACCACTGGAGAGCACAGGCCTCAAATCAACACCAATAAGTACCTATTAACTATGTGCACACGCCCTACACAGTCACCGTGATACGAACTGTAACGAGATTTGCTCGACTTTAGAAGGATAAGGCTGCGTTTATACTTTGCGGCAGCGTAGCGTAGCGCTTCCAGCGTTTCACTAGCGTTTCGCTAGCGTTTGCAGCGGCGGGGCTAGAGAGTATAGAAGAGTAGGAGAGTACAAAATACTCTCCTACTCTTCGATACTCTCTAGCGTAGGAGAGTATTTGTACTCTCCTACTCTTCTATACTCTCTAGCCCCGCCGCTGCAAACGCTAGCGAAACGCTAGTGAAACGCTCGTGAAACGCTGGTAGCGCTAGATCGATACCTATACATCCCGTGCCCTCGCTACGCTGGCGTACGCTAGCGTTACGCTAGCGTGCGCTAGCGTACGCTGGTGGCGCTGGGAACGCTAGATCGATATCTATCCTTTCCCCGACACTGCCGCTGGCGTACGCTGGAAGCGCTACGCTACGCTGCCGCAAAGTATAAACGCAGCCTAAGCAGGGTAATGGAATAATGAAAATAAGAAGACTCTCATACCTTTTTCCTTCCATACGAATCAGACAGTTGACCACAGATGGCGGATCCAATAATTATACCGATCATCTGGAGCGTAGTAGAAAAACGAGCCTTCGAAATGACTCCAAGTTTCGGCAAAATCTCATCCAAAAACGTGGGAGCAGAACAGAACGCTTCGAACTGAATGAACAAGTTGCCGTAAAAGAAACCAAGTGAAATGAATGTTCTTTAGCATTTCTGTGTTGAACAAAACGTCCCATTGATCTCGACCAGTGGTTTACATTCA